CACAGACTCTTATCTTCCAGGATCTTACTTCTAGCATTCATAACCTTTGCTACTTTTGGCTATCACAGACCCTTATCTTCCGGCATCTTACTTCCAGCATTCCTGGCTGTCATTACTTCTGGCTCTTAGAATAAGAGCCAGAAGTAATGACTTGGTTGATTGATGTTAATGAACCTGCTTACAACAGCCCTGAACTTCCAGCTACACCATGGTCCCAGCTTTCCAGTCAACCTAACTAACCTGGTTTAGGAAATTGCTGCATGCAAATTGTCAAGATGAAAGACCAAAGTATTTTTTAATTATTTTTTGAAATTTTTTATTATTTTTTAACACGTTCAAAATTTTGGTTAAAATCTTCTTTTGTTTACGTCATCATTTTAAATTGCTGTTAAAATAACATTGTTTTTTTAAGCGCCTTTTTCCGTTGAAAACACATTGATTTGGAAATTTTGTAAAAATCAAGTAATTGTCCGATTTTAATGAAATTTTCAGGACTTATTCACAAATGAATGAAATTATTTTTGAAATATTTCTTTCTAGAAAATTTTGGTAAAAAATATTTTTTTTTTAAATATGTTACATATTTACTTATTTTCCTGAAATTTCGTTCAAAACCTTTTTTCTACCTGACAATTTTTTTTTGTTAAAGTAAAAGTCATTAGAGATGGTAAATCACCTACTCTTTTTTTTTTTTTTTCTAAAAAAAATCTGCTCTGAATTGAAAAATAATGAATCAATAAATCTATGATATTACTTAATTAGAAAAGCTTTTAAATTGCTTTTGTAAATAAGTAATATTAAGGTCATTATTGCCTGAAGAAATAAATTTTTTCTGATGAATAATTAAATTTTACAAGAATTTTTTCATTTGTTTTACATAATTTATAATAGTTTAAAAATCTTGCAAAATTTTGTATTAGCCTATTTCCTTGTGATTATTAAGTAGAAACAAAATTTACGAGTTCAAAATTGCAAAGTTTAATAAACTTAGTGGTGCTATTGGATCGCTAAAAAAAGAGCATAGCATGATTAAAAAGACGCCAAAGTTGATGAAAACAAAATTTTCGCGTCTAAATGCTTATGTTACTTTTTAGAGGAAAGATCAAAGTATTTTTTACTTATTTTTTGAAATTTTTCCTTCTTTTTTAGAACATTGTAAATTTTGATTAAAAGACCTTGTTTCTCTTTTTATCAGCTTGGCTGATAAATTAACGTATAAACATTTTAGCGCGTTTTTTTCCCCGTTTGACACACATTAATTTGGAAAATCTTGCAAAAATGAAAATAATTGTCGGATTTTAATGAAATTTTCAGAAACTATTTACAAATGATGGAACTTATTATAAATACATTTTTTTTAGTAAAGTCATCTCAGAAATTTTTTTTTTTTCCATATGTATTTACCCGCTCTAACTAATTGTACGAAAAACTCTATAATTTCAATTATGAGGAGTTTAGTGATTATATCAGTTAAAAAGCACAATGCTTTGAGGAAACAAAATCATGTTTTTGTTTTTTTTTAGTTGGAGCCCTTCTATCTGAAAATCGTCTCTGAAGTGTAACATACAAAACTCAATAAAACAAAAAATATTATTTAATTTCAAAAGCTTTTAATTGCTTTTATTTATTCCAATAAACATGGACAATATTGTCTGAAAGCAAAAAAAAGATATTTCGATGAAAAATGAATTTTTTAAAACAATTACCTACAATTATTTTTTATTTCTGCAACCATTGTTTTTTATTTTTACATTATGTTTGTTAATTCTTCTAAAATTATGGAAAAGCCGTACAAAACTTAACGGATGTTGTTTTTAAGTAGATAAATATTTACAGATTATAATTTCCAAAGCTTATTACAAACTAATGAGTCTTCGTATCTTAAAAAAAAATAATTTGTCAATAATGTGTTTACCAATGAAATCTACGGAAGACCAGAAGTTTGGTACGTGCAATAAAAATAACGTCACGTGGATTGAGTTTCTGTCTAGTAAGTGTTGTTCTTCGCTGTATACGGCCCCTTAATTTAGCAAACTGTTCCTGCTGAAACACGTGTGCATCATTTTCATTAAGTTAAAATAGGTACTTTCATCTAGTTTTCATCGTAGTCCTGTAATGTTTGGTTGAAATTGGTTGAAAAATGTAGGAAATTCGATCCAATATGTAAACGTAACACACAGAACCTGGGTTTTATAATAAGTAAGATTCACATTTTGCCTCTAGAAAACTAAAAACTTTTCAATCATTTACACTGGCCAATTTTACTTTTAAATGAAACATATTGTTTGCTTTCAGAAAATACCTAGTTTCATGGGATTCAGATAAACTTTCCCTGATATTTTTCCAGATAAGTCATTTATATATATATATATATATATATAAAAATATAAAAATAAAAAATCCATTTATTTATTTTTTTCCGAGAATATAGGCTGTGACAAAATGACTTTTACTATGTTTGATTATTTTTAATGGGGGATAGAAATTTTTTTATAATAGCAAATCTGAATTGACTTTAGAGGGGTCTATATGGGCCCACAAACAGCAGTGCAGCACTTGTATCTTAATTTTTTTTAATAGTATTTATAATTTCTCCAGATACCCTCAACAAACTTTTGGTACAGTACTTTAAAAAAAAAAAAAGAAATGGCGAAAGTTTTTTTTTTTTTAAATAATACAAAGTACTACTTAAGTAGGTCCGCTTAAAAAAAAAAAACGATATGTCCATTCTATTCTTCCCGTACGAGAACTTGAATCTCACGTCAGCTGTCAATAATTTATAGACGTCATCACTCAGCACTTGTCAATTGCGGCGATGTTGAGATCGGCTCTCTTTTATCTTAAAAAAACATTTTTCTCCGAAGAAAGTAGGTAAAAAGTTTCTTTCAAAATATTTTAAATAAACTTCAAATTTTCTAAATTTCTTCGAATAAATTTTGAAATACGTATAATTAATTTTTAAACGAATTTTAAACGAAGAATTTAACTTATTTTTAAAATTTCAAAAAATATGGCTGATATCGAGCTTTTTGTTCGTTATTTTTAAAACAAGTTTTTTTAACTAAAATTTCGGACATGCTAAGAATGAGTAAAAAATTTCAAAAATTACTCAAAAAAATACTTTAGTGTTTCTTCTCAATAATGAAATATACTTTTATCATGAAAAAAATTTTTTTGTTAATTTTCAGACCATTCTTGTCATGCTATATTAGATTTTCGCGAAATAAACGGAGGTAAAATATTAGGTACCTCCACTTTTTCCGGCAAAATTTCCGATACCTAACTTTAAAATAAATTTTTAAAAATGAAAAAAACATGCTTGAGCTTGAAGATTTCATTTAGCTTTAATTGAAAGTTTAATCATTAAATTTATTTTTCATTATTATAAACAATTCTGCTGTATTTCAGATAGAAATATACATTGGAATGTCAAATTTAATTTTGGAATTTTAAATTTTCGTAAAAATCAAGCCATTTTCTTAATTTTAAGAAATTTGTAAACAAACAAATTTATCGATTTTAAAAATATTTAAAAAAGTTTCTGACACGTTATTTTAGTAAAATTAGAAAATTTAATGTTAAATTAATCTGATTTAAAAGAAATATTACTTACTTCTAGTATAAAAAAGTAATATACAACCAATTATTAACGATTGGTACTGTTATTTTTATCCAATACTTGATCTACGTGTTGATTGACGAGTGATGACAGCTACTACGGATGACCATAAATGAAAATTATTAGAAATCTGAGTAAACGCTTTTTTTTTTTTTAATTTAGTGAAAGGGCAAAAACTTTTTTTATAATAATGGCAATTTCAGTCTACTGTACATGGAAATACGGAACGTATTAATTAAAAAAATACAACATAAAAAATTATATGAAAAAAAATTAATCCTCATTTTGTTGTCCATTTTTGTTCCACTTGTCAGATTTCTTTACTTTATACAAATGTTAGTTTGCCTCTTGTGGCTCATACTTATTGGGGCGAACAGGCCATATTATTCTTCAGGGGGGTCCACTACTCAACATAAAGCTCATTTATTTTAATTTCAGATTATTTTTGGAGGTACCTTGGTGAACTTGAGTAAAAATGGATGGCGAAACAAGGCTTAGGAGAAATAAAAAGAAAACTAAGACTAAAAGAGCTACGAAAAACAGGAACTTTTGGAGACATGGTCGCCTACGTCCAAAGGATACAGCACATAAAAAGGATCTTAAAACAACGAAAAATCATCTCCAGCACAAAAAAATTTCATATGCAAAATGTGTACAGGTGACAATAATTACTTTATTTTTTAAATGGATCCAATTTTTTTCGAAAATTAAGCGCCTATTGGAGAGTCTTACCGCTTAAAAGGTTGTAATTGGAAACGATTTATATAAGTATAGCGTAAATTAAATTAAAAAAAAAAGCAACTGCTTGAGTTTTAAAAAATGAAAATGCATTAAAAAAAATATATATAAAAAAAAAAATTAAAAATCAATAACAATATATTTATAAGTAAAAAAATAATAATTGTAAGTTTAAAAACTAACTTACAATTACATTTTATTTTACATTGTAAAAGTTTACAATATTGAATCGTATCCATGATCATTTAATCAATTTCCACAAAGAAATCGACATCTTTTTCATTTGACAATTTGTAAGATTTTGAAAAAAATATTGTCATATGAAATGATTTTTGTGCGTTTTCTCTTATTTTATTCAGATTTTTGGTCTTAAGAAGAAGATTAAAAGCCTAAATCTCACTGCTTTCATTTTAACAGTTTAACTTTTTTTTATAAGAATAAATCGGGTTTTTTAAAAGTTAGCAACATCAGTTTGTTGAATTTTTTAGACAGAAACCAACATTTATGCAAAATAAACTACTTTTCTCCGAATCGATTTAAAATTTAAATTATCGTTTTTCCTTTTCACACGTAACTAAGGTTAATTTAAACACTTAAAAGTTTAAATAATAACGATAGTTAAATCAATTCAGTAATAACTTACCGAACATGTTCTGTAAAACCACCAATGGTTGGTTAACTATATTCAAAAGCCCCGGCATTTACTGTTGATTCAAAACGAAATCTGTTTCCTAAAAAAACAAAGTAACAGCGAATACTGTTTACACCTTCGTAAATATGGCGGGAAATGATATAATCTCAAGCCCAAATTGTTTTTAACCAGTGTTTTATAATTTTTTGTCTAAATCACATTCTAAAAAAATAATATGTATTTGAAGGATATTTTCTATTACTAAGAATAGTTTTATAGGAATTTGTTTTATCTTCTGCAACTAAACTGTCACTATTTTTTAAAATTTTCATCGTAGTTGTTTTATTCTAGGATAGATAAGCAAGACAGTTTGTCTGGACGGTGACGAGTAATTTGCTTTTTAAGTCCCGTGCTAAATATGTAATAAAAATTTGCCGAAATATAGCTATTCGGCAAATTTTAATTACATATTTTTACCCGTGGGTAATTATGTAAAAGCAGTAAATAGGCCGAAATTTGTGCTTTCGCCGCCGGATGTATTTTTATTGAATTACTAAAAACATTATGACAGTACCTTTGGACCAATGATACAACAAGAAGTTTGTTTCTTTTCTTGTCGATAACTCCAAAACGTTAGATTTCTTTATAATTTAATTGTTAATTCTAGTTCAGCATGTACATTTATATGGAATTATGACAATTTGGGGGAATTATAAGAGATATTTAGTGCGGGCGTTAAAAAGCGCGCACACACACACAATATGCCCATATAAGGAGGGAAAAAATTATGCTTTGTTTGTGAAATTTTAATTTTTTGCTGTATATATATAATTACTAATAGACTATATTTCTTTTTAAAACAAGTAAATATAATAGAATTACTTAATTGATACAACAATAGTTAATAAAAATGAACACGCTACCGCCCCTGTCTGAATAATTGGATTTCTCTGTATCCTTGAAACAGGAAATTATGAATTTATTTATGTGTTATTTAAAAACTAAGTAAATTTGAAAATAAAAATATTCAATATTAAACTTTTTAGATAAAATGGAACTAATGCTTTTAATTTAATTATATAATTAAATTTGAAGTTTTTAAATTCCATTTTTGAAACATGGTTTATTAAATTTGTAGCGAAAAAACCATATTTTTAAATCAAATAAATTATAATATTTATTTAATGTAAATTTAAATAGTTCGCACTGTTTTGTAAGAATAAAAAAATCAATAAAACATTAGATTATATATCTTATAAATCTTTTTTTTTTACTTATATATACATATATATATATATATATATATATATATATATATATATATATATATATATAGTTGAATAAATTTTTTTTTTAGTTGAATAAATCTTTAATATCCCCTCCAAAATTAGTTGAATAAATCTTTAACCTTTCCCACCCGGTGTTTTTGTGTTTTCTTTAAATTGGTCATATGGTTTTTTTTGACTATCACCTATAAATATATTTTTCTCTTTAGCCAAAACCTGACGATTTGTTAGGTGAAACCTGGGTAAATTTGTCTGGCTTACTAGGTTTATCTATTTATCTATATATATATATATATATATATATGTTGAGGCCAATAAGGATGCCACCCATTTTCTATTCAATAGAAGAAATGTGTGAACAGCCAAGACAATGAGGGGATGAATTAGATGTTTAAAAATAATAAACATTGATTTCATTTATCCAAAATGTATAAAAGTGTACTGTCTGGAGAAATATGTTTGTATCCGTATTTTTAACGGTTTGAAACTAACAGGTCAAAAAAAAGTTGATTGGTTGTATCGGTTAAAAAAAGCGTGATAAAAGCTGTGGTAGCTGGTCAAATGCGGGTTGGAAATTATGTAAATTCAATGGTTGGATCGCATAAAATAAAACACTTGACAAATGTGAAATCCCTAAGCAGGGTTAGTCACATTTATCTGATTTTTTCCAGGGTTGATCAACCACAGATTTACATTTCAAATTTGAAGGGTAACAATTTTTTAAAAATATTAAAATCCCTAAACAGAGCCAAGTCATTAGTGATATGACTTCAGGGTGGATCAACCACAAAGGCAGGATTGCACCAAAAAGTAGCACTTGATTCTAATTTCATTTTTTAGTCAGAGGGCAATATCTCTTCCAGGGTGGATCGACCTTTATAAAAAAAATCACAATCAAGATATTCTCTCAATGAAGCACCAGAAGCTCAAAAGGTAGTATACTACACTTTGATCCAGGCCGCTGGGCCAAACAGCTGATATTTATTATGTAAAAATACATAATTGTGGCACAAGGCCGAAAAAAGGATAAATAAATATAAAAATCAAACATCTCTCTCGAAGTACTTCTGGCACCTAAAAGAATCCAATAAAACACCTACAGTAAAATGGAAGTTAATTAGAAAAGCTAGAATATGTAGGTCATTAAATGACCCATGTCCTTTGTGCATACATGAGAAACTATATATTACTAAATTTATAAAAAATAAAAATTTACTGAATCAAAGAAATGAAATAGCTATTTTGTGCCATCATTGTCAAAAGTTTTCCTTAAATAATATTTAAAAATAAAATTGAAAAGTGCAACCTGGTAATTTACATACTTATATTTGATGTGAAAAAATAATTTTATATACTGTAAGAAATTCTATTACATTTACTTGTTTTATAAATATAAAAAAAAAACAGTCTACTAAAATTAACAGTGAAAATATTTTAAAATTGTTTTTTAAAAAAAATTGTAGTTAAATAAAACAAATTCTAGCCTAAACATCTTTTAAAATTGTAGTTAAATAAAACATATTCTCACCTCTCTCAAAGTACTATAAGCACTTAAAAGAATCAAGTAAAACACCTACAGTAAAATGAAATTAATATGTAAAGGTAGAATATGTAGGCCATTAAATGACCCATGTCCTTTGTACATACATGAGAAACTATATATTGCTAAGTGTATAAAAAATAAAAGTGTACTAAATCAGAGAAATGAATTAGCTATTTTTTGCTGTCATTATCATAAATTTTACTGAAATAATATTTAAATATAAAATTTATAAAAAAAAAAAAATGTGACCTGGTAATATATATACTTGATATGAAAAAATAATTTTACATACTGTAAGTAATTCTAATACAATTACTTGTTTTAAAAAGAAATATAGTCTATTAAAAATAAAAAGTGAAAATATTTAAAAATTAAAAGTGAAAATATTTTAAATAAAACGTATTCTAACCTAAACATCCCCCAAAAATTAAGTATACAAATAGAAAAAATGCCATAAGAATTTTTGCTGTTCACAATAAGTTTAGAAAAAAAAAGAAAGAAATCCAGACAACATCCATTTAACGGATGTCAGAATTCGTTGAAAAATACATCCCTACCCCTACCTAAATGTGACCCTTTTTCAAACATAACTAATAACTGATACAAGAAAAGTTAATAAAATGAATACGCAACCACCCCTTGTCTGGATGAATGGATTTCTCTGTATCCTTGGAAACTGTAAATTATAATTTTTGCCGTGCCTTTAAAACCCAGTAAATTTAAAAATAAATTACTTCAAAATTCACTTGAGGATGAAATGGAACTAATAACTTTAATTTAATTACAAAATTAAATTTGAAGCTTTTAGCTTCCATTTTTGAAACATGGTTAGAGCTGTGTATTGAAAAAACCATATTTTAAATCAGTTAATTTATAATATATATATATATATATATATATATATATATATATATATATATATATATATTATAAGAACAAACATTTAAGAACTTTGTTGCTATACTTATAGTTGACCTTATTTATTTCAGGCTTTAATTCTCTTATATATTTAACCAAACATGTCTGAATGAAAATATGCTGCCTAAATATATATATATATATATATATATATATATATATATATATATATATACACTTATTTGAATATTATGTTACTTCATTACACATGGTATGTATCCAATCAAAATATCCTATTGCACTTCACTAACTTTTTCACTCTTTAGTGTTGAGAGTGTTTGTCACACATATTTGAACATTATCTGTTACTTCATTATATGTGACATGTATCTAACTAATATGAAATAGCCAAACACAACATACCTTTAATCTGTGTCTCTTTGCTTTTTATCATTTCTATCTTGATTTCTGACAAAGTTTTAATAAAGTGAAACGTTAAATTAAGATCTGTTTCCTACTTCCTTACATGCAAGTTGCTAGTGGCCTGCTGGTGGGTGACAATGCCAGTGGTGGCAGCCACTGGTGGCCCACTGGTAGGTCATTAGTGGTCCGCTAGTGGTAACATTGCTGAGATGAACACACCAGTGGTTCAACAGTGGGCCACCAGCAGCAATTGCTAGTGCATGCCACCCAGTGACAGATTGGTGCTTTGCATGTAGGGTGTTCTTTATCCTCTCTCTCTCTCTCTCTCTGTTGTGTGTGAGTGTGTGTGTGCATGTTAGGATGACATTTGCTGTTGTGACTTGTCAGCAATTTATTTTACACACCATCAGCAATAGTAGGACAAACAAATAATAGTTCTTTGTACTGAGAATAAAGTATTTAAGGCTTAATTCATACTTTTCATACCACAGTGACCAGGAGAATCTCAGCTCTTCCTCAGTTCTTCTAACCACAACAGTAGTATCTCTGGGATAGTTCCCAGTATGCCAATTATTATGAGTACAAGCTTCTTGACTCTTATATAGCACAGTTTCTTTAATCCCTTGGTACTTAATTTTGACCTGGTATTTAATTTTTTTTTCTATTTTGTTTCTTTAATCTTTATCCAATATCCTGCTACAATTGGCAAATTTTCTTTACCTTGTTAAAAATTAATTGATTCATCCTTTTGTTTGGATGGAGTATTAGTTTGATTTGAATCACTTTTTTTTGTTTATTTCTTCAGGACAACCGCTGTTTTGTGCTCATCAATTATTTTGTTAGATCTAAGCCATTTACACAATTTCCACTGAATCACTGTCTCTACACTATATTACTATTTTTGTATTA